GGGGGGGGGGGGGGGGGGGGGGGGGGGGGTACAACAAGGGGGCCCGTGGAGGCAGGCGGTTCGGGAAAAAGGCGAAACGACAAGGGTGATGGGGGAGAGAAAGGTCAGGACCACTGAAAAAAAATTGGAGAAGACTGATGAGTAAGCGAGTTAAACGCCGGTCACTCATGGTCTGGGGCTTCCATATTACGTCGCGGGAAGGTGTGAGGGAGGGGTGGGAGTGGGATGGTAAACGACAAACGCTCGGGGCGTGGTTTGTTTGCGTAGCTGCTGGACCATGACCACGCATTCTCGAGGGGCTCCTTCCTATATTGCCAAAGGTTGCTCAATAATGTTCTGCCTTTGCTGTCTATGCCACCTCTCGCCCAGGAGGGGTAAGGATAGTTAGGATACCAACAACCAAGGGACCAAACAACGTTTTCTCTTACCAGAGACTGCTCTCTTTTGAGAAGCTTCCCTATACGCGTTTGGCTGGCGAGATCGTACGCCGACGCCTGCTTCAAAAACTCCGAGACGCTCAGCTCGGATGCCTGGCGAGGGATACGACGACAAAAAAAACAAACGAAAAGTGCGGCGTGAAAGCATAAATAGTAGGATTGGAGTGGGTGGGTCCTATACGGTTCTTATTTGACACTGAAGCTACAAACGATCGTGTACTTGCGCCACCTAGGGGCTCGGTGCAAACAGCAAGTAGTGTAGCCGCGGCGGCAGCAACGACGGCGACGGTGTACACGAGTGTCGGTGTGTGCGGAGGCGATCGCAAGGTCTGGAGTTATATGGGTGAGTCGTCAATGTGCAAGAACAACTGGTAACAGACAAAATTACAACAACAGCAGGAACACAATCAACCAACAAATAGTAACACCGCAGCCAGCAACAACACAAACAGCAGCAGCATCAACAACAACAACAACAACAACAACAACAACAGCGAGCACACAAACCTGGCTAACGCTACCCCCCGCCAATTTGAGCAGCGTCGACACCACCACGTTCACGTCCTGGGCGACAAGCATCGCCGCGCGGTCGCACGTGAACTCCGCCGCCCTGGACCACCGCATAAGCCTCCTCCGCAGCCCCAGCCGGTCCGCCACAAAGGCCCCCAAGAAACCCCTCCCGTAAAGGCCGTTCGCGACCACCGTGGCGAGGGTGACCCAGATGCCGTGCTCGCACTTGAGGTGGCCTAGCTCGTGCGCGATCACCGCTTGCACTTCCTGCACGGGGGGGGGGGGGTTCGGAATACGACGGAGGGCAAGATGATTGTCAAAAACGAGCAGGGTTCCGCTTTCTCAACATGCATTCTGCTGTGTTTTCCATATTGCCTGTGACACTCTTGACACAATAGAAATGCAACGCCACAGAGGGTGAACTAGTACACGCACGTGGTTCTGGTTTTGATCACAACGGTTTGTTGCCTTCAACGAGCTTTCAATGGCGTACACATCACTGCAACGTTCGACAGCAGTCGACGCTCTCTCTTTCTCTCTCTCTTGTCCTCCCTTCCCCTTGCTGTCTCTCTTCCTTTCTCTCTTCCCTCTCTTTCCCTCTCTATCCCTCTTCCTCTATCCATCTATGTCTGAGTGCACATGGACCGCTTTTCTCTCTCCCTTGTCGACGGCATCCGACCAGCCTTGCTTTCTCGACAACAGAAACAAAGGTCACACGATACGAAACACGCACTTCCCAAAACTCACTTCGAGCGTTTATGGGCCACAGACTCGACGTAGACGTCTAAAGAAGTTTTGGGTTTTTCCTCAGAGACTGACGTAGGAGGTCTCTTTCTTATTCGGCAGTCGGTTGGCGTGCTCCTCGCTAAAAAGAAATTGAAAACACAATCAAACCACGCGCACGTGCACACACACGACTAATGTATTCTCGTTGTCCAGCCGGTGATGCAGCGCGGTCAATGCTAACCCAAAAAAAGACACACACATACATGCACACAAGGGCACGGACGGGTCTTTCGACAAAAGAGCACAAAGCCATTTCCGCAGCTGCTGCTGCTGCTGCTGCTGCTGCTGCTGTTGTTGTTTCTACCAACCTCGGGCTCCATGAGGTCCAGCAAGGAGGTATGCAGCACGATGAACGGCTTCTTCCCTCGAATGGCCAAGGTGTACGCGTTCGGGGTGGGGTTCTGCTCAAACAGGAAGGAGGGAAATATCCAAAACAGGGAGGGGGGTTCGCGAATGAACACAGGTCCACC